CCCTTTCTCCATGCTGAAGCACAAGCTATAGAAAAATGCTGACGTAGAAAGGCCCAGGGACGAAGCCCACGTCATAGAGGCAGCAATGGTTTACAACAAATAATTCTTGCCAGGTTAAGTCTAATTGCATCTAAAAACAGAAATGCAAGGCAAGGGGTTTAAAGAAAGACTCAGGGTAATGTATCTGGTCTTGCTGAATCCTGCTGCCAAAAAGCGTTAGATTGGATTACAAACATTATTACATCAAAAATGGATTGAAGGGCTTAAAGACTAACAATGAACAGCGTACGTATTAGATTTATGGGGCAAACATCTACCGGGGCCTCGCTTTTACTTTAGCATTTCCACCAAATGAGGTCTCCTTGCCTTAAAGAGGCTCACAGGAGTGCTGGGACACCGGCCCAGGGACTCGGCGGAGGGCTGGGTACGAGATCCCACCAGGGAAAAACACCTCAGCACTTGGCCAAGGCGCTGCCCACCGCACCTGCAAAGAGCTGCCTGGAGAAATCAAAAGGCTGAGCAAGGCTTTGCTTGGGAGTCTCTGCTCTCCTGCACCCCATCCAACACAGGAAGGGCTGCAGGGACCACCACCACCACCGTGTCCAAGGATGAAGCGAGCTCTAGGCTTGGGAACATGTCACCCGAGGCAGGTCCCTGCCAGTGTACGGTGGCACCAGCAGCAGGCTGGGCACCGCTGGGTCACATCCAGAGCTCCTGCACGGCGGGGAGCCCTGCCGGGAGCTCCTCCTCATGTCGCCCTGCTGCCAGGACATCAGGATTAATGCATCTCTATCTAGGCACCTCATTACCAGAGATAGCAAGACTGGAGCAAGTTCAAAGAGTAGCAGCAAGCACAATTAAGAGCTGGAGTGAATTAGGAGGGGAGGTAGCGAGCTGAACCTGCACGGCTGGCTAAGCCGTGGTGGGGCCAGAGCTGCCCACGAGCATCCCAGGAGTGTAGACACCAGGAAGCGCGGGAAGGCTGCTTAAGTGGGACTTAGACAGCCAAGGAAGCAGAGAAAATCAACAGAAACTGGTAAAAAACAAGGCTAGGAAATGTTGGTATGGTCAGGCTCTCAGACCTGGGGCAGATGATCCACAGGCATGAAGCAGGACCCCCACCCCACCTCTAGGACAGCACCTTCACAAAAGTCTTCAGTTTTCATGTCCCTATGGCCTCTTGCTCCTGCTTGCCCCAAAAAGCAGGCAGATGGATTATTTTTAGGCATTCGGACACATTCTTCCCTCCCATTTCAGCCATTCACAAGCAACCAGCTTTTCTACCAGTTCAGCAGGGACGAAGGGAGGAGTAACCACATGCCTGCTAATGAGCCAGAAGCACCTTCTGCCCTGATGAGGATGGTGTGAACGATCCAAGCCTTGCTGCTGGCCCAGGGAATGGCAGCAACACTCTCACCTGCACACAGGTCTGCAAGTACAAGCTACCCTGGAGTCCCCACCGACCTTTCCAGCAGCCTGCCCACGGCTTTGTGCTTGGCCAAGGAACCCCCCAAAGGACTTTCTTTTGGGGCAAAAAAGAATTCATTCCTGTTGGACCTCACCTTCCTACCTCCCACGCAGCACAGCAAGAGGAACTGCCTGGGAGAGCCACCACCGCGTGCTTCCCACTGTCTGCCCGTGGTGTACAACAGTTCTGCAGGGAGGAGACAGGACACCAGGGACAGGAGACTTCCACCCAGCCACAGGACACCAAGGACAGAAGAAACCACAGGCTGCCTGAACCCAGAGTCTGCCACGGAGCAAAACAGCCAATTCCCAAATTCCCAACTTCTCCATCCTCTTAGAGCTCCGTCCCGAGGACAGTGCCCCACGTTCTGCCAGAGCTCCACGTCCTCCCCCAAGCCTCTGTCTCCAGCATGGACCTGCGGGCAGGAGCTGCCACATCTTGTTCTTGATGAAAAGGCTTAGGAAGAAGCATCACCCTCCCCTGCCCAGCCCGGGGAGAAAAAATGCTTTTAACGAAAGCACTGGCGTGGAGGGGCTCGGTGCAAGGCTTCAGCGAGGATGGGGAGAGGTTACATTCGCTTTCAAAAGCCTTTTTCATTACTAAGCTGAGGGCTGGGGCCGTGTCCCTCTGTGATAAAAGTGGCCCTAAACAAGGCTTGGCATATCCAAGGCGAGGAGCAGCCCTGAATGGGGAGGGACCCCGGGAAGCCCCCCCGGCTCTGGCGGGGAGGTTTTCCAGCTGGCTGGGGAAGGTGGGGGCCAAGCGACACACGTCCCGCTGCCGCCCCGCTCCCCACTGCTTCGGCATCGCTTCTCCCAGCTTAGGGCTGCCAGCAAATGAAAAGGAAGGGGAAAAAAAAAACCCTTTTGTGTGTCAAGGCAAAGCTTGGGGAGAGGGAAGGGGGGAAAAAAAAAAAAAAAAAAAAAAAAACAACATGTGGGTGGTCTGCTCAGGAGACTTTTGACTTTGTTTTTTTGGCTATTTTATTTCTTGGCAGAAAGAGCTCCTGGGGCTGCTCGGCAGAGGGTACGGCCAGATCACAGGAGCATCCTCGGCCCACCCAGGGGCCAAAGTTCAGCTGGCAGCGGCTGCTTGCTCCCAGCGCCGAGGGGGCTCGCTTCAAAGCACAGAGGAGTCAAGAGAAATTAAAGTCAGAAACAGGCCGAGGAGGTGGCAGAGAGCACTACTGGCCCCCTGAGGAGAGAGGGGGACCCCACAGGGATGCTCTGAGCACCCCACTCACCACATCCCTATTCCAGCCCTATATAGGCTCTGAGATGCTGCAATGGGAGACTGGGAAATAAGAGGATAAATAGGATTTTACGGCGGTCTCTGAGGAGATCCCCCTCGCCTTGGGATGAAAGCAGGATTGCATTACAAATATAGAAAAAAATTCTAGATAGGGGAGAAGATTCCTATTGCTGCTAGCAGAATCATATAAAATAAAGACTGGGTAAAAACAAAATGAGTTTAAGAAGCCTCAGCTGAACCTCTGACGGGATGCACAGCCGGAATTTTGCAAGCTGTGCCGGCACAGCACAGCTTGCAAAATCCCGGCTGTGCATCCCATCGGAGCTGCAGCGAGCTGGAACGGTGGTGACCCAGGTGTGCTGGCAGAGGTGGAGGGGAGCTGGCACCGGCTCAAAGCCACGGGGGCCCCTGGGGAGCTGCGTTAGTACTCAGCAGCACACCGTCGGCCGCTTGTGAAAACGCCACCGAAAGCTACGGGCAGTTGATTTAACTTAAGCAAGAGCTTTCGTGTGAAATGCAAAGCAACTCCTTAAAACTTGTGCAATTCAGAGCCTGGCAAAGCCTTCTGCCTGCACCTTCCTGCTGGACTGCATTGCAGTGTGAGGGACCCCGTGTTTCTCCTCCCTGGCGCCTCATTAGGCTCCTGAGCTCATTCTGGGGAACCCATTTGTCTTTGAGGCCTATTTGCAGCCTGAGGGTCACACAGGATGGAGCACAGGGGTGCAAGGTGGGACCCCACTTTCAGCCCTAGTTAGCATGATGACCACAGTGCTGTTTGAACTTGACCTTTGAGCACGGAGGAGCTACTGAGTGCTTCAAGCTAACCGCCTGATGTACAAAAGGCAGACTAATGGCTGTGCATTTAGTCGCTCTCCCCCCTCTTTGCCCACCACAGGGAAAGCTTGCTGTTGAACTAAGCCTTGCATCAGCTGGGGGACAGAAGAAGGGCTGACCCTCAAAAGGTCCCAGAGCCACCAGGCTGGTGCCAGCCATGGTTACTCATGGTAAAGGAGATGGGAGCCTGCACAGAAGCTGTGCTGGGGCTTTTGGCATCCTCAGCCCATCCCCGGGGTGCCTGGGCTTGCAGCCAGAGTCGTCTGCACCCCCAACGGCTGCAAAGCTGGTGACCCCACCCGTGGCCCCCCAGTGACACCAGGTAGAAGGCCCCAGATCTGGACAGCGAGGGTGACCGAGCGATAGCAGCTCTCAGGAGAGACTGGCCCCGCCAAGGGGTGACTCAGCCCGGCGCAGCCCGCGGTCTCTGCCGGTACTGCCGCCGTGCCGAGCAGGCTGAGCGGGTTGTTGCGCCAGGTCCTCCCCACCGTCACCCCTCCTACAGCCACACGGTGCCGGGGTGCAGGTAACCAGAAACCCCTGCCAGCCCCTTCGTCACCACCCCATGCTCAGCCACACGTTAGGAAGCACTAAGCAAACTTTGCCACGATGGAAGCAAGAGTGGGCTCAGGGCTGACCTGCCAGAGCCTGTTCCAGCTGCTTTCTCTGCACAGGGTTTACTCAAATTATTCCGCAGCAAAACTACAGTCAGCCCAAGCCCCAGGGACAGCTCGCTGGGGAAATACAGGCTGGCAGCATCACCGTGGCACCGTGCTACGGCAGAGCACCTCCTGCCCCCAGCTGCCTGCAGCATCCTCGCCACCCCCTCTGAGGGCAAAGATTTGAGGCTAAAAATACATTGTTTACCAACTGGAAAGCACCAGCTCCCACGGCTCAGCGCTCACTTCCCACACGGGTGGCTGACCTCTGTGCCACGGCACTCACCGGCAAGCCCACGGCATGTGACAGCGGGGGGAGAGATGAGCCACGCAGCCACCGTGCCCTTTGCCGGCTCCATCTCCTCAGTCACCGTTCCTCTCAATCCCAACTGTCCCACCAGGAGCTCCCCAGCTCCAAGGCAAAAGCCCTACAAGAAATGCCCTGCAATGCCTCCAACAAAAATGGCAGCAAAAAAACCCCAAATAAATAAGCTCCAGACATGACGATGCTCCAGACACACGCTGCCCCTCGGTGCCAGGGCCGACCCCGACTGGGGGACTGGCTGTGGGCAGGGCAGGGGACACAGCACAGCAGCCAGATACGGGCCGGTGACCCGCTCAGCCGGTGACACATTCCTCCCCCTTCTCCCATCCAGCAGGAAATATTTTCCATACGTGTCAGCTCTTTGCACTGGCCAAGTTGTGAACAAGCGCCTGGCGACACTCTCCAGGTCTCCACGGCCCCCCCCGAGCCGGGGCTGGTGGTGAGGAAGAGGAGGGCAACTCACATGTGATGAAGTAATCCTGCTGCCGCTTGAACTCCAGGCCCATGTAGTTGGGGCTGAACTCCTGAAACTTGATGGTGAACCGGATCTCCTGCTCGGGCCGGTTGCACGTCACCAGCACGTTGGGGTCCATGACGGTGCTACAGGCATCTGCCTGGTCCTTCTTCACCAGGTACAGCTTGTAGTACTCGTAAGGCTTGGACGGCTCCGCCTTGGGGCAGATAATGTCCAGTTTATCCCCAATCTCCGGGTAGATGACCAGTCCCTTTCCAGTCATGAACCTGGAAGAGAAGAGGGCGGGAGGTTAGCCACACGCTCAAGCGCAGGCAGTGGGGGCCACACCAGCCCATCCCACCCCGCACAGAGCCCCGCTTTCACACTATTTATTTTGTGCTTAAACTCTGCTGCTTTCCCTCCACAAGATGTTTTTTGACACCAAAGCCCTCTTCTTCCTTTATCAGCACTGCACATGCAAGGAACCAGCATAGGCTCCCACCAACAAAACCAGGGGCTCGCTTGGTTCCGTCCTGCTCCCCAGCCCCCCTGCCACGATGAGGGTGAGCACCCTTCCCAACCCGAGCCTGGCACCCAAAAGGGAACGGAGTCTTCCCACAAAGGGCCGGGGAGCGGGCGGGCTGGAGACGCCACGGCTCTGCCCCACGGCCAGGCAAGGAGCTTCCTGCAGGGACAGGCGATAATTAGGCATGGGGAGAAGTCCTGACAATGGGGTGTGGGGAGGGATCCCTTCCACGCCCCGGCTCCCTGAGGTATTCCTGTCCTTAAATGGGAGGGAGAGAAGCATCCTGCAGGACAACTTCTACCAAGCCAGGCTCAACTGCGTGCCCAGGAGCGTGGGAGGACCGGATGGAGAAGAGCAAGGAGGGAGGAAAGCTATTTGGGGCTGGAAGGCAGGGCATTGCAAAGGGAAGGAAGGCAATATGCTGATAATTAGCATTCAGATTTCATTATTATGGAGCAATACTCTGATTTTTTTTTTTTTTTTCATTGTGAAGTAGAGGATTAGGGCAACAAGGAGAGAAGCAGCAGATCATCTACTTTGATGTAGGCAACGTAACGCGTTCTTGATGGAAGATAAGGTGGGAATGGATGTTCCTGCAAAGTTATCTCTGCTGCAACTCCCTCACATATTTTGGGCATGGCGAAAACAAAAGCATGTGCTTCAGCAGGCTGCACGTCTGTGGCTTTCCCTTCCTGCTCTTGGACACTGCCAGTCCCTGCCCCATCCCACCCCGGCAGTCGGATGAGGTGATGGGACACCTTCTCCCCACAGCCAGCTGCACCGGCTGAGGCTGCAGGCACCATTGGAAGGAAGATCAAACACACAAGCCCAACCTGCTCCGTGGCTCTGGTACAAGTCTTAGCAAGAAGTCACAGAGCTGAAACCAGCGCCTGAGCATCCCAGGCTCCAGGCCTCTGGCTGCGGGAGCCCCAGCAGATCTGCACGGGGCTGGGCGGAGGCAGGCGGAGCCCACGCACACCCCAATGCCCTTGGCAAGGGCTCCGGCACTCAGTGCCAGCTCTAACAGCGGGAGGGACGGCCAGGACAGACAGACAGACATCAGCTGCACCTCTCCACCAGCTCGCTGGGGCAGAGGGGGCAGCCCTGGCGCTCGCCCTCACCCAGCCCCAGGAGAGGAGGCAGAGGCACAGGGACAGGGGGTACAGTCCCTATCGCCCACGCTGCCCCAAACGTGGGAGCTGAATTCAGACCAGTTATCTGCCCTGTCCTCCCTGCCAGACTGTGGCACAGCCTTGACCATGTCGGCTCCGGCAGCACCCGGAGAGGCACCATGGCCATGGCAGGGACAGTTGGGATCACACCAACCCCAGCACCACCAGTTCAGCAGCTGCACCTCTGCCATGCAAGCCAGTGGGAAGCAATTAAGGTTTGTAAAAGCGATGGCTTCTGGAGGAAGGCGATGCAGCAGCCTCATGAGAGAGTAGGAAACGTAGCCCCTAAGCGGCCTGTGGAGGTGGGATGCTGCACGGTGCCGCTGGCACAGCAGAGCCCGGCCCCATCCCCGGCGCTGCCGCAGGTGAGCCACGCTTTGCCTGAACGTTACCAAGTAGGTCAGCTGGCCCCTGGCCAGCACGCCGCTTCCAGAGCCTTGGGAGCGATAAAGGCTTCCCCCCACCCACAGCCGGAGCCCTGACGCCATCCCGGGAGCCGTGCAGCAGGAGATGCAAAGGAGCCCCTGCCCCTCCCTCCCCTTGCTCACCCTCCCCACCCCGCGCCAGGCCGCAGACATGCAGCGCAAGTGAACACTTGCACGCTCGCTCACGGGTTCCCACCCTGAGAGGCAGCTGGATCCCACACTCATTTCTCCACGGCTGGGCTGAGTCAGAGGCTTTCTGGCACAGGACTCCCAAGTGACTCAAATTCCCTCCTCCAGCCCCTGCCAGCTCCCTCCTGCCCAGAAGATGCCAAACAGGAAGCCACAAACAAGTCAAGCAGATGTCTTGCCACGCCGGAGAAGGAGGAGAAGGCTCCTATCCATCCGCCATCTCCATACCAGAAGGCCCTACCACACCTCCTTGGCCAAAGCCTTGGCCAACACCCACAAACTGACCCGTCCACGCGACACCAGCCTGCATGGTGACGGCATGGCCGCCTGGGATCGGGTCAAGCTGATGTTTAACAAGGGGAAAGGCCGTAAAGCAATCAAGGGAGCTGAGAACAACCCAGCACCACATCCTGCTGGCACTCCTTCATCCCAGAAAATTCAGAAAGAACGCCTATGTTTGTTTTAGCTGTTTCAAGGATAAAACAATTAGACGAATTTCTTCTATTAATGCTTGGTCTCAGCTTTAAAAGCAAGCAGCTTCTGCCTGGAAATTAGCCCTATAACATTTTCTGGATCTCCTACATGAACATCGAGCAGGACAGAGCAGGCAGCCCTTCATCACATGCAGCGGCAGCACTGCCTGGGGCTTTTGGGGGTGCTCCCTCCAACCGCTGCTCCCTGCCAGCCACATTCCTGCCCACATGCACGTTTTACCCTTTGTCCTCCAATTTCCCTCATTTATTCTCCTTCATTTCCCCCTTAATGTCCTCCCCCTTTTCTCTAAAAGCAGGGCTGTTTCCCAGCCGACATGCTGGGCAGCACGAGCGGTGGAGATGAACCCCTGAAGTGTATACCTTCAAAACCGCTCTCACAGCTCTTTGAGCTCTTAAACCACATGTCGAGACTTTTTTCCCCAAAAAATTTTGTTTTGTCACAAGCAATGATTTATGACAGTCATCCTAGGGAAGACTGACAATGGTTTCCATCATGTAAGAGGCCAGTTCTACAGGAAATTCTCCTTAAAAATACAGAAAGTGAAAAGCAACATTTATCACAAGAATACCAGAGAAAAAAGTGTCCAAAAATTGTCGCAAGGTGCCTGTACACAGTGTTACAGCAAGTTCTGGGCATGAGAAATTTTACTTCAGAAGGACCACTGAAGGCAAAAAAGAATTACACTCTTGACTTGTCTTTACAAGGACACATGTTCAAATTTATCTTAACTAGGAAGTATGAACAGAATTCCTTTTAAATTAATAAGGGAAATTCATCGTGCCCTCAAAGCACAGGCTGTAATTTTGGCAGGGGGGGCAGAGAGGAATCTGCTGTGTCCTCTATATATTACAGTCTGGTTTCCCTGATTTAAGGTCGAGAAGAAAAAAAAAGAAAAATCAAAATTCAACTCGAACTTAACGCTCTAACTAAGACTGACACCTGCACAATAACATGCTCTGGGATGGAGCCCCAGACACACATTTGATTAGACAACCCAAATTCGGGTCCAGCAGAGCAGCAAGGCACTCGAAACCCCACTTTCTGACCCCGTTCCTGGGACACGAGCAGAGCCCTGCCCACCATCTGCCCCAGCAAGCCCCTCGCAACAGAAGCAGGGCAGACCCACCACCAGTGCACCACCGGCAAGGGCCCAGCGCTTTCGGGGCTAATCCTGCACAACATGTGCTGGAGCCCTGCCACGGAAGGCCGTGAGCTGGCACGCAGCACCCCAACCACCCATGGCATCCAGTGGGGTCCCCCCATGCACACACCTTCCCGCCCGAATCATCCTCCTCTACCTCTCCCACCACCTGGGAGGAGGATGGCAGCTCCAGCTTTATTTATTTAGCATTGGTACTATCACCAGTTAGCAGCTCACAGATAACATCTCGGTAGCCTTTCTCCTGGTGTGGAAGGTGGTGGGAAAGATTAACTACACCCATTAAAGTTTAAAAAAAAATAATTTTTGCCGGTGCTGGGCAGAGCATGCTGGGAGGGGAGCGCTGGCCTCCACTCTGGTTATCACCAGCTTCATCATTTCAAGCCCCTCAAGGCGATTTTTGGGTGGCACCTGCGGCTGCCCACCTGCAGAGCCGTGCCGACCGCCGAGAAGCCCCCCGGCCCCCAGGTCCCAGCCCCCCCCAGCCCCCAGCTCCCGGCCCCGCAGGTTCCTTGGGAGCGATCAGGTGGCGGCGTCCAATTTCTTCATTGTTTCGGGAGGTGTTTTCTGATGGGAAAGGTGAAAAGGGTATTTGTGAGCCTTGTAAACCGATTCCTCCGAGTTGGGTAAACAAGGGGAGCTCTGTTGGCAGCGGGATGCCGGAGCAGAGAGACGGGATTAAAGAGCAGGCTCTCCCCTGCCCTGAGCTGGGGGGCAGCTGGTGAGGACCTGCAGACCAGGCAGCCCCCCTCTCACCAGTACAGAGGGCTAGACTCCCCTCAAAGGCCCAAAAAGCTCCAGTGGGACCTGATGGAGTGACCTGTGGGCTACAAGTGGGACCTGCTGGAAGGGCCATGGACTCGGCCAGTGCCCGCCCTCAGAGGCATGGCACCACGGAGGTGGTTTGCTAGGAGAGAAAGAGGAATGGAGGGATAAGAGATGATAATCCCTTGAAGCTCACACCTCGGCTTTCAGGAGGAGCAGCCACGTGGGAGGGTGGCAGGGCTCCCGGCAAACGGCCTGCCAGGTCACAAGCCCATGGCTTCCAGCACCAGCCACACCAAGGAGCTCCAGCAGCACCGGGGTTCCTGCAACCGGCAGACCCCCAACGGACATCACACAGGGATGACCTGCTCCATCCCACCGCTGTGAGAAGGTCAACAAGCCCAGGAACACAGGGTGAGAAGGAAAATCATGCAGGTTTGATCGGAGCAAGCTCAAGACTCATGTTGGGCACGATGCCTCTCTCCTCTACACACCCCCCACCACCACGCAGGCTCCTCTTCTCCCCGTGGGCATGCACAGGCTAGCAGACTGGGTC